TGCAATATTCTGAAAACAAAAAGGATGAAAACAAGTCGGTGTTGTAAGTAGTTGGGAGCAGCAAGGTAAAAACCACACTGTGTGCTGTGTTTTTTATACCCCAGATTGCGTAAGACGCCATTATTAGGACGAAGGGGCCTTCCTGGGTAGAGCTATCGATTCAGTAAGTCAAGTTGAATGACTAAACATTTATTTCTGGAAAAACTCCAACACTTCAGAACTACACAAGTCTTGCATCGATTAAAGAGTTGGTTCTTCTTATTCTGAACAACCATAAGCAGCTATACTGCCCTTAATAGTTATTCATTCTGCAGTATACAATGGAATTAAACATGCTTTTATTACTACCTCATATGCTTAACAAGTTTTTGGCCCATTAAAAATAGCGTTATATAGAGAAATGGAAATTATTCTGTAGAAAATACAGGCAGTATTAGCAAATTACACCATGTGACTTAGCATCATTATTTAACAATTCTTATGGTCGTATTGCTAAAGTAGAGAAGATAGTTAAAGGATTTGAGGTGACTGGTATAATATGCCTCGTTAATCCAAACGTGTTTCACTGACGACGACTTTCTGGCATCTGATGATTTAAAAGATTAGCAGATTATGGAAGTAAATTCAGCAAAGTCCAAACATTGGTTTAGAGACAGAATAAAAACAAATGTATCTCCAAAACCAAACATATCATTTACAGAATAATGCAAATACCCGGACCATCAAATACTCAGAAAAAAAACAAATTTGGAAACAATAGGTATGCACCAATAAAGAAATCGAAAAGAAGTAACAATAAAACATTGTGTTTTCAATACTTCCATAAAATTTATTAACCTATTTCATTAAAGATATATAAGTGTAAACGCATGCCAAAAATAGATCACTTGAGAAAGGCAATCAGCCGAAACAGCTGTAGTGATAATATTTTATAATAAATTTTGTGGAAGTATTGAAAACAAAGTTTTCAGTAATTAATTTTACATAAAATGAATTTTCCATTAAGTATCGGTCAAATGCACCAATTATTTAAATTGAAAAGATATATGATATGTAACACAAAAAAGATGCCAGCTAAAACGCAAAATATGCAATGAATCGTTTTCATCTTTTGATGAAAGTGTAGATAAAAATGAACTCTGCGATGATAACGAACTTGACGACGCAACTCCAAAGGAATACTGCATAATCTGCAATGTTTTTGGTAAAGATGGCATGCTATAGTTTAGGTGAACAATTTGCGCTAGACGGCTGAAAAAAAAGCAAAATGTATATTTTGTGACTTTTGTAAAGAATAATAATGCATTATAAGTTTTACCATAAAAAGTGTAACTGAGCAGTATTACTCCACACTTCCGGAAAATGCCGCTCGTGTCATCATTATCATCATCATTACCCTATATGCTTCCACTGGTGGACAAAGGTCTCCCTCAGCTCTTTCCATCTGTCTCTTCTTTTATACGGCTTGCATCCAATTATTGCTATACGCTTTAAGTTGCCAGGCCCATCTAGTTGGTGGGCGTCCTGTGCTCCGTATTGATTCTTGCCTTGTCTCCATTTTCCTTAAAGATGTCTTCCATTTTTCCATGGAAAATGGGAAAATTCCATTTTCTTAACGACGCAATTTTTTCGATAGCCTCTGTTGTGTTTGTAGGATTTAGTCTCTCAAAGAGATACCCAACATCTGGCGCTCCCATAGCCATCTAGGTCACGCGTATCTTATTAACTACCTTTTTGTGAGAGTTAATATTTCCGATCCATGAGTACAGGTAACATACATTGGTCTAAGATTTTCCTTTTGAGGCATATATGTAGGTCCGATTGAAATACATAGTTTAATTTACCAAACGCTGCCCAGGCAAATCCTATGCGACGTGGGAGCTCACATGTTGGTTATCTCTGCCCAACCAAAGTTCCTGTCCTAGGTTACTTATATGATGTAGTCTGCACTATATCCGTTCCATCATCAGTAATATTTGGATTTAGCACCAGATTATTCATTATTTGCGTCTTGTTTCATATTAATCTTTAGTCCGACCTCCAAGGAAGCGTGATATAATTATTATTATTATTTATTTAACAACATTATTATTGCATCATCCATACGACCGGCTATAAGGACGATGTTATCTGGCAAATCTCAAATGACTAAGATTCTCTCCATTTATATTGGATACCATGCTCGTTCAGATGTTGCCTTCTTACAAGTATGTTCTAGAAGCGTCGGTGGAATAGTTGTGGAGAGGACTGTGTCTCCTTGCCGTACTCCTCGTTGTATATAGAATTTTTTTTGTTCAGATAGTCTTACGATAGCTGTAGCATTTTGCTAGATATATTTGATTATGTTAGTCTAGCGATAGTCTATTCGGCATTCTGTCAATGCTTTTAACATTTTCTGATGACTTATGGTATCGAATGCTTTTTTGTAATCGACAAATATCTCAGTGCCAATGGTTTGTTGTATTCTGCAGAATTCTTTATTAGGTTCTTTATCACTAGTAAGTGGTTCGTTAGTGCTGTATCCCGATCTAAATCCAGCTTGTTCTCTCAGGCTGAAAGAAGTCTAATTTAGTGTCCCAGTCTTTTTTTGATATTTTTTGTGAAAAAGTTTATATATGTGTGAAAGACACACCGATACGACGGTATGTTTTTTTTTAATCTGTTATGTCTCGTTGCTTGTGTAATAAAGTAATAAACTGCATTATTCCATTGAAACATTGAGTTTTTCCTTAGTAGATGCATTCGGTGAACAGCTTGGCTAAAGCGGGATAATTTTATTTTCCACCTAGTTTGACCGCTTCGATTACTATTCCATCATCGCCAGGGGATTTGTTATTTTTCGCGCTAAAAAGCGCTGTTTTAAGTTCGTATGGAGTTATTGCTGGCAATAATTTGATCCCTGGTTTGTGATTTTGGGCATTGGCTGATCTTGCCTTTCGTCGGTGCTCTCATACATTTCGCGATAAAAGGATTCGACAACCTCAAGGATTTTGGTTCTATTATTAGTAATTTTTCCATCTTTGTTTTTTATTTTGTATCTACATATTTTTTGTTGCTTAAGTTGTTCATATTTCGCCCAAAAACTTTTTAAACTGTTGTTTGCTTGAATTACTTTAGTTATTTCTCTTGTATTGTTTTCTCTTACGTCTCTTTAGAATTAACTATTGAATATATTTATTTAATTTCTTCATTTTTTGTGTAGTTGGAGC